GCGGGGACTGGTCAGCGCTAAACAAAAGCTACATTGATTGGAAAGGAAACATTGACTACAACAGCCTGCTTTTTGGAGAGGGTTGTGGCTATTTTAGGCTGTGAGAAAGCGGTTTCCTAAGTTGGCCCCTCCCTAGGAGGTGCTGGGTGAGCCTGGTTTAGCCTGGGGTGAGAGCAGCTGCTGTGGGCGGCAGCTCTGGTGGCAGCAGGAGCTCTGCGGGAGGGCCACAAAGTGCCGTAGCCGGGGCTTAGGGGTGCCCTGGGTTTGATCCTGTCAGCGCTGCCTGGGTTGATGGTGGTGGAGAAGCTCCCAGAAGCCAAGGGACATCTGTTGAGGGTGGGAGGATAACTGCCGTGTTAGCCCTCTGATCTCGATTGCCTCTCCTGAGGTGGTTTAACAGTCTCATTGGGCTGTCTGGGTCTTCAATTGGTCTCGCTTTATCCTGGCAGGGTGAAACAGCATCTTGGGCATCCTGCAGCTTTAGGGTGTTTAGTACTCACTGGGGCGAGGTTTGGGAAGGAGAAGCCCCTCACGTCCACCCGGGCAGTTTGGCAATTCTACTCCATCCCAGCAGAGTGTTGTTCTGCTGCTGGCCTTGCCCGGAGGAGCAGCACTTACTCCTGGGTGTTTAATTCTCTTACATGATGTTTCTCGTGATGGCTGGGTGGTGTTTCACCTTCTACCTGGGATTGGAACTGAGATACAGCAGAGCTGTGTGGGAGAGCTCAGTTTTGGTCCATTAGGAGCTGTCTTGGGCTGCTCTCCATGCAGATTCCTGAAGAAAAACCCGCCGGGGTTGAGGGATTTAGGCACAGCTGCCACAGGGTGGACTCACATCTGGGAGAACTTGGGCTCCTCTGGCTTCAGGAACGGGTTGAGCCGTGGGAAGGGGATGGAAATGCTGGATCCCATCGAGAGTGGTGTTTCCTTCACGAGGACGCTCTGTGTTTCAGCGCTCTCTTCCCGGACGTGGTGAACTGCATGCAGACGGACAACCTGGAGCTGAAGAAGCTGGTCTACCTCTACCTGATGAACTACGCCAAGAGCCAGCCGGACATGGCCATCATGGCTGTCAACACCTTCGTGAAGGTGAGAGGAGGGGACCGTGGGCCCGAGTCAGGCTGGTTCAACCCACTACCTACACCCTGGCTTTGATGTGAGACCACCACGCTGAGCTGCTTCCGAAGCAGGGAGTGTGGGCAGGTTTCCAAAACCTCTTCCTTCAGGAGTAGGGGCTCCCCTAGTTGTAGATAACTGAGCAAATTTGTCTGAGAACGCAGAAGGAGAAATGTTTTCTCGGCAGCCGTGCTGTGCCGCTTGCTCTGTCGGTGGCAGCTTCAGTCGTGGGCAGCTCCCGTGATGAAACTGCCGTCATGTGAGCTTACGTGCTGAAGCCTCTGCAGCTGAGGAGGCCCTCGTGATCTTCCAGCTGGAGTCGGGAGCTGAAGAGGGTATTTGTTAGGAGCCAAGATATTGCCAAGGCACTTTGAAAAGGCTCAAAGGCCATTAGAGAGAGTTTTGGCTTTTTAGGAGGGAAAAAAACCCCGTATAATAAACCCAATAGATGCGTTTTCCAGGTCAGGTGGCAGCTGACTGCAGGTACTTGGGGTCAGTGATGGAGCCATGAGGCTCCTGGAGGTGTGTTTGGAGTGAAGTCTGATGGTGTTAAAACCCTGTGGGTGCCCGATTGCAGAGCAAGAGATCAAACTTCCCCCACTTGGGTGACTCATTCTTGAAAGCTGAGTGTTAGAACTCGGAGACCTCATCGATCCAAACAAGAAAGAAGGTCCCGAAGCCACCACTGATGCCTGTGAGTCAAGACAAGGAGGCTCTGGAAATCTAACCTTCCCCTCTCGCCCCTGCAGGACTGCGAGGACCCAAACCCTCTGATCCGGGCTCTGGCGGTGCGGACCATGGGCTGCATCCGTGTGGACAAGATAACGGAGTATCTCTGCGAGCCCCTGCGGAAGTGCCTGAAGGACGAGGACCCGTATGTGCGCAAGACGGCAGCCGTCTGCGTGGCCAAGCTCCACGACATCAACGCCCAGCTGGTGGAGGACCAGGGCTTCCTGGACACCCTCAAAGACCTCATCTCAGACTCCAACCCCATGGTGATTGTTTTTTGCCATCTTTGTCCTCTCTTTTCTCCATCTTCATGGCAGTAAATGCTCTCCCTTAGCTTCCAGGGTGGCAGAGGGGAGCTCTGATACCACATAGCTGGTGGTTTTTGCCTCTGGAGAGGGTTTTCTAGCAGCTGGGCTTTGCCCAGCCTTAGTTTCCTGGCCTTTCCGCAGGCATGAGAAATTTAAAGCCTGCTTTCCATGGGGTTTCTCTTCCCCTCCCAGCCTTTGCCCCTCTTCAGATCTTTCCGCAGGCGTAGCGGCGAGCCTGGAGCCGCCCAGGGAAGGGGAGGGAGAGCGGGCTCCTCCGCACCGGGCGGGGGGCCAAGGCTAACTGCCGCTGAACACGAGAAGGGGAGGGAGAGCGGGCTCCTCCGCACCGGGCGTGGGGCCAAGGCTACCTCCCGCTGAACACGTGCGAGCCGACGGATCTGCGGTGTGGGTGGTGGGACTGCGCTGGTGGCGATTGCTCATCTCCCGAGGGATCGGGTGGTGGGGAGGAGAAGCTGGCGCCCAGATGTCGCTGGGATGCGAGGTGCCGATAGGGAGGCTGCGGCTCGTCCGCTTGCGCCGGCTTCACCTCGGTCTGTCGAACCACGTTTGGTGTCACCCAACATGTGTCCTCTCCTCACCGGCAGGTAGTGGCCAACGCGGTAGCGGCACTCTCGGAAATAGCGGAGTCTCACCCGAGCAGTAATCTCCTGGACCTCAACCCCCAGTCCATCAACAAGCTGCTCACGGCCTTGAATGAGTGCACCGAGTGGGGTCAGATCTTCATCCTGGACTGTCTGGCAAACTACATGCCCAAGGATGACCGGGAAGCCCAGAGGTGAGGGAGGCTCCCGGTGCTGTTAGGCCAGCCCTGCCTTCAGGGCAGGGCTGGAAAGTGAAATGGGAACAGGTGGGCATCAATGCTGCCCCTTCTCCATGTATCTTCATCCTCCTGTTCCTTGGCGTCCCGCTGCGGCAGAAATCTCCCGGCCCCTGTGCCGAGATCTCACAGCAAGCCCTGTCCTGTGGTGGCACAGGGATAGCGCTTTCCCAGCCTCTTCAAAACATGGCAGGGGAGGAGTACAGGCACTGGGGAGCTCTGAAAGGGCATCACTGCCACAGGGTTTTGCAGGGGCTGAGAAATAACCTTTACCAGGGCGTTTAGGAGCTGGTTCAGCATCTCTCAGGAAGGTGTCCAGCTCTGCTTTGGCTGTCCTGCTGCAAACTCTGCCAGTGCCTTGTTCTTTGTCAGTACTGGCAGGAAGATGGGCCCCTGATCATTTTCTTTCCTTTCTGCCCCCCGATGCCTCCAGCATTTGCGAGCGGGTGACGCCCCGGCTGTCGCACGCTAACTCGGCCGTGGTGCTCTCGGCGGTGAAGGTGCTGATGAAGTTCATGGAGATGCTGTCGAAGGACCTGGATTATTACGGCACGCTGCTCAAGAAGCTGGCCCCACCGCTGGTCACCCTGCTCTCCGCAGAACCCGAGCTGCAGTACGTGGCTCTCCGCAACATCAACCTCATCGTGCAGAAGAGGTGGGTGCCCCGGTGCGGCAGGAGGGGACAGCCTGGCTTGGGCTTTCTCTCTTGTCTGTGGGGGCTGTTTCCTAGTGCTCAAACTCGCTGACTGCAGTGGTGTCGGGGCTTCGTGTGTTTTTTTGTTATTTTTCTTCTCTGTTATTTACAATCCCAGGGCTGCGCGCAGCAAATGTGGAGAAGAGCTAAGGAGGGATCACTAGGAGGGGTTTATTTTACTTTATTATTTAGCCAAGGGAGCAAAGGATGGAAAGACCAAAAGCTGAAACTTCAGTTTCCTCATCTAGTGAGGAATTCTTTGTGAGATCAGCTCGTTTCTCAGTGCTCATCAGCTTTGAATAAGTGCTGAGAGTCCTTTTGTCCCTCTGCTGCTCTGAGATTGCTGGTGGGCAGGAGGTGTGCGAGGCCCCACACGTGTGTCCCAAGCAGAACTGGCCAGCTGGAGCGTGACAGCCCCAGTCAGATGATTTGCTGTCCTACCAGTTATCACCGTGGTTGTCTTATTAAAAATAGCAGCAATTTTGGGAAGAAGCAGAAAGCAATTAGCATCCCTGGGAATGTGCTAGGCAGGCTGGCTCCTTGGAGCCGGACCTGACCTACCTCTTGCCTGGATGGTCTGGGGAGCAAGGTCCAGCTTGGCCCTGGGGTCTGGCTTTGCATCCCGAGAAGTTTTCCAGCCTTGGCAAGACGAACATCCCCCGTTGCCTTGCGTCTGCTCGTTGTTCGCGGCAAGGTTGCGCTTCGTCCCCTGCGTGTCAGCAAAGGGGAGCCAAGGGACAGAGTCCTGGGGGGATAATTGCAGAATCTTTGTGTTCTTGGCATTGAACGGGCCCCCTAAAACCTTGTGTTTGTGGCCAAGGAGCCTCGTCCTCCTGACTCAGAGCTGCTCGTTTTCTGGCTTTCCCCAGCTTATGTCCCCGATGGTTTCAAGCCTTCCCCATCCCAGCTCTGTCCTCGGCTGGGGAGTGATGATTCATGCTTGGAGCTGGCTAATGGAGTGATGAATTTGCATGGGCTCAGGGCTTTAGCTGGCTGCAGGCTCAGGCCTGCAGCTCTCTTTCTGCACTGCTTTGATTGCTGGTTGCTGCCTGGGTCAGAGCCTGGAGGTGGGAGCAGAGCTCGGATCTTGCTTCTGCAACGAGACATCATCTGATAGCGTATTGTTTCTAGCTCTGGAGAAAGATTCCTGTAAGATTTTTGATATATCTGTGGTCAAAGCAAAGGAGCGGGTGTCTCCCTTCATCGCTGCTTCTCGTTGTCCTCCAGGCCTGAGATCCTGAAGCACGAGATGAAGGTGTTCTTCGTGAAGTACAACGACCCCATCTACGTCAAACTGGAGAAGCTGGACATCATGATCCGTCTGGCTTCACAGGCCAACATTGCTCAGGTCAGGGGCTGCCTGTGCTGGGTGGATGCCGAGGAGAGTGCGCAGGGGTCTCCGGCTCTGCATGGAGGGGCTTCCACTCGCCTTCTGCTGGGTCACCGCACTGCTTCTCCGGTGGCTTTTCTTGCAACCGGGCTCTCACTGTCTTGTCCCCTCCCTCAGGTGCTGGCGGAGCTGAAGGAGTACGCCACGGAGGTCGACGTGGACTTCGTAAGGAAGGCGGTCCGAGCCATCGGCCGCTGTGCCATCAA